GTCCGCTGGCTGGCTGGGGCACTGTGTGGCTCCTCTAGTTGCCCTTGTAAAAACATTCCCTGAAGCCTTGAGCTTAGTGAGCGTGGCAGGGAGAAGAGGGGGGCGCTGATGGTGGCATTCCTGAGAGCGTGGCAGCTGCCCTGGTGGTGCTGTGGTTATGAGTTGAATTGTGATTCAGTTGGTTGACAGTTTGAAACCACCAGCCGCTCTGTGGGAGAAAGAGGGAGCTTTCTTCTCCTGTGAAAGAGTGACAGTCTTAGAAACCCACTGTGGAATGGCTGGGGGTTGGGGGCCAGGGGTGGTGTCACTATGAGTCAGCATTAACTCCATGGCAGCTAGCAAGTAAAGAGTATGGGAATTTGGGGGCTCCCATGCTACTGGACTCCTAAACCTTTGTGACATGTGCTTAGCAACTGCTGACTTGTGAGATTTAAATGCCTCTGCCTGTCACCTCTCGTGGATGGAGTCAAAATCAAGGTACTCACTACCGACCAATCATTGCCATCATATTGACCCTATAGAACACGGTAGAACTGCCCCTGGGAGTTTCCAAAACCCTAACTCTTTATGGGAGTAGAAAGCCCCGTCTTTCTCCCTAGGAGAGGCTGATGGTTTCAAACTGTCACCCATGTGGTGTATCGCAGCCCAAAGTGTAACCACTACGGCATGTCCTAGAAATCAAGGTAGGAACTCTTGGAGATGATCTCCAGGTGTGGAAGGACTCCCAGCAGGTTCAGGATCGGTCCCTGTTTTAGGTGTGCTCCTTGAGCCTGTTGTAAACGAGTCTAGGTAAGACCTCTTGGTCTTTGCTAAGGAATCAATACATTTTCCTCATGATCCGTCTTTGCCTTACAGTCTCCGGGCCTGTCTCCTTACCATCTATCTCTGTGTGATCAGAGAATGATTAGTCCCACGTTCGCCTCACTCAGAGCTAATTGGCAGGGCACATTTTGATCAGGAAAGCAGTCATAGTTTATTTATAAAGCCAGCTTAAGTCACCTTTTGATTCAGAGCATCACAGTGCTCATAAAAAGGAAATGTCATACCAAGTTAAAGGCTTGGCTTGTGATGCTCATTAAGGAGCCCCGGTGGTCCAGCGACTAAGTGCTGGGTTGCTGACCAGCAGCCGCTCAACAACTGCTGTAGAACCCATGGAGGATGTCCTTCGGGTCTCCCTGAGGCAGGTTCGACTCAACGCATCCTGTGATGATCGTGATGTTAGTTTATGCTGTCTGGTCCGGCGTCCAGTGGAACCTTCACTCTGACATACAGGGTGGAAATGGGAAAGCACATGCCTGGTGACAGGAGGCCAACCGTCACTGGGCCTGGCACTGCCCTTCCCTGGGCCTCAGGTTCCTCCCCCTACACATCCCGTATGTCCTTTCCCCCTCGTGACATGAATTTGCATCCTTAAAGCGAGTGGGACACAGACTACAGAGAAGCTGCTGAGGAAGCAGGACGTGAGGCTGGGTGATAACCCATCTGGATAAGCCTGCACTCTGACCTCTCTGCTTCTTCCCACTCAGTATGGCTATGCCCCCAAAGGCTCCTCGGTGATCTTGTACAGTGACCTGAAGTACAGGAGCTACCAGTTCTTCACTGCTCCAGACTGGCAGGGTGGCGTCTACGCATCCCCCACCATGGCCGGCTCACGGCCTGGCGGCATTAGTGCAGCCTGTTGGGCCACCCTGATGCACTTCGGTGAGAACGGCTATGTTGAGGCGACCAAGCAGATCATCAAAACCACTCGCTTCCTCAAATCAGAGTACGTATGGGCCACTGGGGTTCTGCTCTGTCCCTTGGGTTGTTTGTTTTTGTTTTTTTGTTTTAGCTTGTAGGCAGAGGCATTTTTCGTGCTCCCTTAGCTGAACCCCAATGCGGTCCCTTGAGACTAGCAGTGGAGGGTGGCCAGGTAGTAGTGTGGTGCTGGCTTAGGGGACAGTCAGCTCCCATTCTCTGTTGTAACAGCAGAGTGTCTTGGTAGCCAGAGAGCCTGACATCAGGCTTCTCTGGACACGTCTTGCCGAGAACAGCCGCACAGTGTGGTGGCAGAGACAGAGGGTTCAGACTGACCATGCAGGCGGTTCACCTGGAGGGGCTTGTTAATCCCTATGGCTGTTCCCTCCCCACCCCCCACGCCCTGGGCATTCATAGTTCTGGGGGTGTGGATTTCTAGCACATTTCCAGGAGATCTGGTGCTGCTGGTCCAGGAGTCACACTGGACAATTGTTAGAATACAGTCTCAGGAGAGACAGAGGGCGTGCGCAAGGAGGGAGGTTAAAATTTGACCTGTCAGCCTGGAACTGGCTGCACTCTCTGTGCAACGTGTTGCCCGCCTTCCCTCTCCCTGACCATGAGATGTTGGAAGGTAAAGGGGAGGGGTCAGGAGCCAAGTGCCATTTGTAAAGGCCCACGTGTGGTTCCTCTGTGCTGCTGATTGAGAGCCACTGTTCCCTTCTTTTCTCTGCGGATTACACACATGACTGTGGGCTTTTCAACACTGTAGGGATGGAGCGATGAATTTCCCAGAATTCCACCCTCCTCCCCGCTCCATGAATTGGACTTTATTTCAGTGTCATAAGGAAAGTGCACACTGAGCATGTTTGACGGGGCTGGAGGACTGTGGTGAAATCTCTTGTCCTCCAGCCTTGATTTGGCACAACACTGAGTCAGGTCCTCCTTGGCCCAGCCTGGTGCTCGCATGGCCCTGTGGGCATGTCACCAGCTGAAGGTAGGGCAGATAGGCTGGGAATTAGGGACGCAGGTGCATGTGACCTGGGTGGGCCTCGGAGCTCTGAGTATTCGTTCACATTGACTCATGCCCCTGTAGGACCCTCTGATCCCAGCCTAGTTTCCTTGATTTATGAGATGAGAAAACCAGAGGTCCACAGGTGACTAAGGAGGCACCTGTGTGACTGGACTGCCTTTCTTCCCTCCCTCTGGTTTTCAGGTTGAAGAACATCAAAGGCATCTTTGTCTTCGGGGATCCTCAGTTGTCCGTCGTTGCTCTGGGCTCCCATGACTTTGACATCTACCGCCTGTCTAACCTGATGAGTGCTAAAGGGTGGAACCTGAACCCCTTGCAGTTCCCGCCCAGGTAAGCTTGCGGAAGCCTCTTCTGCTCCCCTTGCTGCTTGGCTGGCAGAGAGCCTGGGCATTTGAAGGTAGACTTTGGCTGGTGGAGTCTAGAGTTTCTTCTGCCTTGTCCCCTGGCGTTATGAGACGTAGCCTCTAAGGACTTGACACCTTTCTAAATAAGCTTTAAACTCCTTGAGTGCCTAGGTAAACTTCAGTACAGCCTCCTGGGACCAGGGGTGAAGGAACTTTTTTCCTCTATTCTCTTTCTATCCCTGTGCCCTTCAGTCTATTACATGACCACCGACTTTGTTTCCAAAGTGCCTCGTCATTCCTGAGTAATAGTTAGCTCAGAACCCTCCGGTGATCTGTAATCATTCAGAGCCTGCCAGGATCTGGGTTAGTGCGCTTTCCTAGCTACCCAGGCACCATGCCTGGAGAGGAAGAGTCTGCTCTAGCTGACCAGCCTGCTCACTGCCCATGATCCCGTCTCCTTTCACCTGGGACCCGTGACCAGGCCTTCTCAGTGCCCCTGTGCCCTTCCTCCTTCCCAGCTGTGTTCTTGCTTCTTTGCCCGACGTTCCTCAAGAGGTCTGCCCAGCGGCCCTTCAGAGTTGATCTAAGAAAGAAGAGTCTCATTGGTGGGAACATGGCTGTGGGCAGAGGCCTGACTTGGGCGGGAGGGCAGGATGACCAGCTCGGCTCTCCATCCTGCTCAGCTGTGCTGATGCCGACTCGACTCGGGGCTTGAGAGCCTGAGGGCAGCGTGCTGGGTGGGAAACCAGGTGCAGGAGCGGTCCCATGATTTGGATGTGGACTCCTGCTCGTGGGATGCTCTCCTAGAACCTTTGCACGTCCCCCTCTCTCCCCTCCCACAGTATTCATTTCTGCATCACGTTACTCCATACCCGGAATCGAGTAGCCATACAGTTTCTCAAGGATGTCCGGGAATCTGTCACCCAAATCATGAAGAACCCCAAAGCAAAGACCACCGGAATGGTAGGGACACTGGCTTTTCTCTCTCCCTGGAAGAGCAGGGGGCGGTGGTGGTGCAGGTAAAGGGACCGCGTGAAAGAAGAGATGACCGGTGCCGTGGTCCGCTCCGTTCCTGTCCCGCAGACCTCTTACCTGTTTGTTCACTGGAGGAATTCTGCCTCCCCCATTCCCAGGGGCCTGAGGGGTCCCATGAGATACCCTGTCTCTGTGAAGCAGCTGAAAACTAAGACATGCTGACCAAAACAGGTGGTAGTTTTGTGCATTTCCAAAGGAAATCTTGACGGCAGGTCCATAAATGTTTTTTCTGCAATTGTCTATGGTAAATCCCATAAGAGGGTTTCTTTACACAGAAAAGGCAGGCTGGCCAGTACCTATGAACAATGTCCTATGGCAGCTGTCTCTGCGAGAGACATGCCTGGGCTGGGATGGAGAGGACGTGGTGGAGGCTGCAGGGGTGGGCATGTGGGAAGCCAGGGGTGCAGAAAAGAGGTTCCAAACCATAGCTTGGACCTTGCTGCTGCCCCGCAGTCACTGACAATGTGTCTTGGTTGGATTCGTAGGGTGCTATCTACGGCCTGGCTCAGACAACAGTTGACAGGAACATGGTGGCAGAGTTGTCCTCGGTCTTCCTGGACAGCCTGTTCATCACTGACGCCATGACCTCGGGCAGCCAGATGAATGGCTCTCCCAAGCCCTGCTGAGCCTGGACCTTCAGAAGTTCTTCAGCATGTGGAACAGACCTTGCTCAGCTTCGACATCTGGCCTTACTCCATAGAGCACAGCAGCACGGATGGCAAGACAGCTCGGCCCTCAGGACTCTCCTTCCACCTTTTACCATCCTTTCGTGACGTTTCGTCTGAAGCCCCCTGAAGGGCGTCTTCATCATATAGTGATCTTGCCCGTGTTTTAAGTGCTACACTAGGACTCGTTCTAACCCTCTCCTTCTCCAAACTCTAGCTTTCACCTTACTCACCGTGTGGCCGCTCTGTGCTGGTCACTCACCTTAGGGAAGCTGGGCACTGTTACCAGCTAGCGCAGGGCCCCTGGGCTGTCTCCAGCAGACGTTTGGCTGGTCAGAATAGAAGCATTTGTGCAGCTTGTTTCCCTTGGTGGCTTTTACGTGTCCCCGAAGCAGGGGGCTTTCTGCACCTTCCTCTTCACCAGTCGGCTAGTTGTCACTCAGAGTCACTTCCCTGGCTGCTGGTGTGCTTTCTCCAGCACAAGATTGAGCAGAGAGCACAACGGGCGGGGCTAGTATGCCTGCTCAGACTGGTACAGACGTCCCCTCCCATGGCCTCTGCCATGCTTGCTGTCCCATCTGACACTCGGTTGCCACCACACTGAGGGCTTCTTGTTTACTTTGTTCAGAAGGGAGCCTGGCTTCCAGACCCGCTGGGTGGGACTTTCTGGACCCTGCTGCCTCTATGGATGGGCAGTGAGCATGGCAGGCCTGA